ACTGGCTACTACACCAAAGCAACAAGAGTGACCACGGTGCCCAATGACTACTGTCTATATCCTCCAGATGTGACACAATAAGTTCCTGAGTGTGGTCTCTCCTGTGGTCCTCCTAACTCCAGCCTCCTCTTCTCTTTTCATTTAAGTCTCGAGCAACACTGACCCAATATACAGTTCCTAAAACACCGTTTGTTTGTTTGTTTGTCCTTGTCTGCCCCTTCATTCTCCACTCCAACTCAAAAACATAGCTCAGTGAGAGTGGAGACGATCTCTGTCTTGTTCACTGCTGAATCTCTAGCACTTAGAACAGTGACTAGCCAGCACACAGGAGATACCCAGCGTCTAAGAATGAACGAGCATGCCTACACCGATCCAGCTACCTGAAAAGCCGGCTTTCAGTTTCTAACAAACCAAAACACTCCTTCAAATCCAGCGCAGGGCTCGCCTCCTTGGGGACCTCCTCCTGTCTCCCCTCGGTTTTCTCGTGCCCTGCCCTGGACAAGTATCCCACAGTACCCCTATACTAAATGGGCACTTTCAGTATTAGGATTCCAATAATGTGTTATAATTATTAATTTACTGTGAAATCCCTGAAAACGGGATTTTATCATTTTATGAAAACATCTTATTCATCTTTTCATCCTCAGAAATTAAGTAAGGGCTTGGTAGGTCATCAATAAATGGTTATGGGATTAACAGGAATTACATACCCGTATGCTAAGTACAACCTAAATTTTAATTTTACATTTGATAAACCTGAATAACGGGTAAAAGATAGTTCTTTGTACTCTTCTTACAAATCTTCTGTAAGTTTGCAATTACTTTAAAATAAAAATTTTAAACACACACACAATGTCTGACAAGCCCTTACTGGGATCAAATATTTCTCCTCACCACAATACCAAACAAGACTGGAATGAGCACAGTAAAAGCAAAAAAAGTAACTATAGGTATTGACCTCAACTGTTAAAGAAAAATTGAAAAATCTTAGATTTTCAAATCTTATCACCTCTCTCCCCCAATCGATTATGTGGATTTTATATGTAGTTGCCTTTGGATATGGAAAACATAAAATAGTTATCACTCTTACAGACAGTGGCTAAAATTAAGATTTTAGACTTCGATTCCTTAAGATGAAGATTAACCAGAAAATTTTAATGAACTAGTAAAAAAAAATCTTATAAATTGAAGTTGTTTTGCCTTAAGCTGCCCAAAAGATATCCTTTAAACTAAACTATTATGGAAAGGTGATCTATTTTTGTCATATAATTCTGAGAAGATGCATACAATTCTACACAGCTATAATTCAACACCAGTTCGATCTAACGTATGTTTGTTGGCAGTCTAGAATTTGCAAGGCACTCTCCTATTGGCTATCACCAGAAGCTAAGTAAGACATCATTCCTGCCCTATGGAGGTCCCATTGAAGTACTGGAAGAAAAAGGGGGTGACTGGGAAAAGAGGGCAATGGCTGAAATAAAATTGGCAAAATATGGATAATTGTTAGTTGGACCTGGGGGACGGGTACACAAGAATTCTCTACTTTGTGTTTAAGGGGGAAATACTACAGCAGGTTTTGCTGATGTTCAACATTATACACCTGGAGTTCTGGTAACCTCTGCATTCATCCATGCTTCCCTTCTTTATTGTTAAGTTTCTGAATGGTGGGAATGCCACAAGTTGGTACCATCACAAATTCAGAGAAGCACCTACCAGTTTCTTGTGCATACTAAGAACTGATAAATGTTTACTGAACTGAATTTGATCAAGTCACGTCACGTTTATTAATTTAACAAGAGAGAAGAGTCTGCCACAGCTGATAGTTACAAAATGACTCCCATCAGCCAGGCTTCTGACAAGATAAATCAAGCGTTTGACCTCAGAGCACGCCCAGTAAATCCGACTGTGTCCCTCAAAAACCAGGTCTCCCCATTCCTCCAGCAGTGGCTTCACTTTTGATTAGCCCCGCGTTCCCTCTTAAAGAAATCCTTTACACAGGCTCTGTTCTCACCTATCTTCAAACAAGTACTCTCAGCATCACATCACATCCTCCTCTTGTCATTCCCAGAAATTTTCTGTCAACGTCAAGTCATTCTCCCCTTCGCCTTCACAAGGACCAGGATCTGCCCCCTGCCCCCACCTCCCCATCCCACCCCTGCAATGTCCCCCAACCCCCACACACTTTTGCCCAACCAAACCCTAGACAGCCTTCAGGTTGCACCGTAAATGTCCATTTCCCAGTGAGGTTTCAATGACCACCCCTCCCCCCAGACCAGCTTAGGGCCTCCTCTTCTCCCTTCTTCCTACTTTCTCTTCATCACAAAAACAGCATTTACATATCACTTTACAGTGTATGAGATGCTTTTATATCTAAGATCTTACTTGATTTTCCAGTAATCTTGTTAGGTAAACATTAGTTCTCATTTTACACATGAGAAACAGGTCTCATACCTAAGTAACTTGTCTAACATAATACCAAAAGCAAATGACATAGCAGCCAGATAAATCAAACCTATAATTCAAGGCAGACTAGTGCTAGAGAAGCCCCAAGTGCTATGAGAGATTAAAGAGAGATTACTACTCCCACTGGGGTATCATGGAAGTATCATTTTGTGTTGATCTTTGAAGAGTGGGTCGAACAGGTGGGAAATGAACGAAGGACACAACAGGCAAAAGACACAGCTTGAAAACCAAGAGTGTTGACTGAGTGACTATGTAGCATCTGCCCAGGAAACAATGAATAACATGGATGGGACATTTAAGTAAAAAGTGAGGGCTAAGATGGAAAGTGAGGGTGGTTAGATCTGTAACCTCTTCAAAGGTAAGGGCTGTGTCTCCTTCGTTCTTATATCCCCAGAACCTCCTATGGTCTAGAACAAGCAGCAACATCACAGATAGCTGTCAAGTCGCGTAGCTGCGTAGGCCATCCTCAGGACGCTCCTCTTCTGTGGGCCTTTTCCCGCCCACAGTTCCTGCTACCCTCAACAGCCAGGTTGTCCACCATCAACCACGGCAGGGATGAGCATATGACCTGTGACATGTGACTGCTCCAAAGATAAGCTGGGCCAATCAGATTCCTCTCTCTAGAATTGGGAATTAGAAACCAGAGACCCAGTCAACATGGGCCATGTGCAAAATGATAGTTTTGAGACAGCCAGTCAGCAGAGAGAGAACCCAACAGATAGGAACAGAGAAAAAGGCTCTTCGCAGGTAAGAAAATTCATGTGGCCCCTGAGAGCTGCAGAGGGTGGGGCTGCCTTGGGTCCTGATTTCCTGCTGACTCTCATTCCGTCCTAGAAATCTCCTTTTCCCTGAAGTAAAAGAGGAAGCCTTGCCTTCTAAACAGCCCTGACTAATATGGTCCAGATAAAGCACAGAAACGGACAGTTCTTGAGCAAAAGCAGGAAGAGGAGTAGGGCACACACAGGATCCCAGGAAAATTAATCTCCCAGCAGCAGTGTATGTGGCCCAAATTAGAAAACCACAAAGAATCAGGACCCTGCATACCAGCCAGGGAACCACCAACACAAGACAACCCACAGGTGAGGGGGCAGGTGTGAGGACGGAGAAGAAATGCGAGATGTAAACTTGGACAAAATAAAATCGCCCCACAGGTGACCGACCCCCTGGCCTACCAAAACATGCAGAAGAGAGATTCTGGATATAGGATAAAAGAAACTATGTGACTGGCTGGAGAGGAAAAGAGCAGGTCAAAGATAACTAGATGCCAAGCACAGGAGGCTGGCTGGTGCAGCCCTTAACAATAAAAGGGAAGTCAGGGCTTTCTCTGCATGGTTATTACAACCCCCCGGGGCCCCACCACCTCTGCTGGGTGAAGGAGGCTGCGGCGTGCTTTGGCCAGGCTGCATTAGAGATGTTCCAAAAAAGCCGAGATGGAAAATCCACCCAATATTTGGGAAAACAGGTCTGGAAGCCATTCACACAAAGGATGCTGAACAAAGATTCTCATGCTTGTGTGCATCAGTCGCTTGGGAAGCTTGTCAATACTGAGCTTGTCCATATGTGTTCCTTGGGGTTCTCCCCCAGAGCATCCCATTCAGTAGACCTGGGGCGGGCCCAGAAATTGACGTTTTTCACAAGCATCTCAAAATGCTTCTGACGAAAGCGTCCGCGCCAGTAAAGCCAGAGAACAAAGAACACACCTGGCCGCGGCATTTCTAAACCTTGACTCAGGACCAGATCCCCTCCGGTGTTTTTCAAAATAATTTAAATATCTGACCCTCAGTGTTGTCGAAGCGCAGGCAGTGACCAAAACGGATCAGAATCACCAAAACAGACCACAGCCACACCCCTGGCCAGTTGAATGGGAATCTCTGACGGTAAGACAAGTCTTGTCACATTTTGAACCAGCGCCCCGAACGGCTAACAGAAATGGTTCCATAAACAGTTATTAAGAAGAACATTTTCTTCATGGGTTTTAAGCCTTTCCGTATGTCAAAACGACTTGAAAGAAATACACTCCAACATTGCTGGCGGACAAAGAAATCGTTTCCCTCTAAATAAATCCCGGGAGCGTCGTGATCAACGGCTTGCAGGTGTTTGCTAGGCACCTGAAGGCAGGCACAGGACAATGGAGCCCGACGTGAAAGCAACGGCTGGAGACCACCCGCCGCGCCCCGGGAAGCGCAGGGAACGGAACCTCGAACGCCGGCCTCAGCGGCACCAGCCCGAGGCGTTCTCCAGGTGGTAGGCGTGCCAGAGGCTGCTCCCCAAACGGAAAACAACTGCTTCACGGACCCCCCACCCCCACCTCGGCCCCACCCGAGGCGCCGCTCGGCCTCCGGAGAGACCGGCCAACTCAGACAGCAAGTCTGCAACCTTTCTGGAGCCCCAGCCAGCGCGGAACGGCCCGGAAGGCCGGTCCAACGGCCCATCGTCTCCCCCGCCGCGGGCTCCACACCCGGCCTCGCCCCCTCCCCGGCGGGCCGCGGCCCCCGCCTCCTCCCCGGTCGCCCCGCAATGCCGACCGCCACACTGACCGTCTCACAAGCCCGCCCGAGGGCAGCGCCGGCGGAAGGGGGCCGCTTGGCCGCACGCGCGGTTACACGACGGGAAATGGAGAGGCGGCGGGTTTCAGCGCGTCGCCCTCAACACACCCGGCGGCCATTTTCCTCCGTCTCCCAGAACTGACAGGTCACGTGGCTGCGAAGCCTGGCGCCCGGTGGCCACGCCCCCGGAGGGCGGGGCAGCGCGCCGGCAGCGAGGCCGGAGCGGGCTGCGGGCGCTGGCTGGGCCCGAGCTGGAGGGGGCTGCAGGCTGGAGGGGGCTGCAGGCTGGAGGGGGCTGCAGGCTGGAGCGGACAGCGAGGCGGGCGAGATGCAGGGGTGCGAGTCGCCCGGCCCCGCCGCCCTCCGCACTCTCCCTCCGGCCTCCAAATAGGTATATCTTTGATAAGTGCCCCAGGCAATATTTTCTTCATTGTCAGTGTCACTCTTCTTATTATGGTTAATTTATAATCCCTATTTACCATTATAACTTATGCAGAGAACTAAACCACAATTGTAACTTCGGAAGACATTAAAAAATGCATTTCAAATGAAGGGCAGTTCCAATGCCTTTCTCGGGAACCCAGAAGCGAGGTCTCTGCCTTCTCTGAACACCTGTGGGATCTCCCCTCCTGGTCGAGAGAGCCCATCTGCTCCCTCGCTTCCTCACTCCCTTCCCCCACCTCCCGTAGCCCCAGAAGTCTGGCCTCCACCCCCATCTCTGCAGAAGGAACCTCAGACTTCCCCGTGGCCAAATGCAATTGACAGCTTTCCATTCACAGCCCTTTCGTGCACGACTCCCTCCTAGAAATGTTCCCCTCCCTGGGCTCCTGTGACTCAAATTCTCCTAGCTTTCCTCCCGTTTCTCTGGCTGCTCCTTTCAGATTCCACCTCTCTTAAATTGGTTGTTTCCAGAGCTGGGCTCATCTCCCTCCCCGACCTAATGTGATCCGGCTCTGGTTTTGCTCCTGTCGGGGACCGGGCTCCTACCCTCATCCCCCTGAGGCACGAATCGGGAAGTCAGACAACTCATCCTCCCCCCTCCCCAATGTCATCCAGTCCGCCCACCGCCTGACGGTAGCCGCTTTCATCAACCCTGACCAGGTTACAGGCTTCAGAAGCTCCCACCAGGACTACTCCGAAAGCCCCCCAGCTACTCTCCACGGGGCGCCACTAACCATTTCCCCAGAGACTGGAGATCATGTCACATCTTTGGTGAAAATCCCTATACCCTTCCATTTCCACAGAACACTTTCCTTAACAGGACTTAGCACGCCAGTCTCCTCCGGAGCTGGCCCCTGCCAGACTGCTCACCATCGCTCCGGCCACTGCTCTCCCCCCGCATGCCCCACTCCCAGGCTGCTATATTTACAGTTTCTGGAACATTGGGCCATGGTCTTTCTCCTCTCCGTTCCTTTCCAAAGTCTTGTTCCCCCACCTGGACATTCTTTCCTGCCTCTTGTCCAGCTGACTCCACAGGTAAATCCTATTTGTTTTTTTGTTTTGTTTTGTGTTTTTAAGACACAACTTAAGCGGTCCCCTTTTTTGTGCCGCTTTCTGGATGACCTCAAGCAGACTTGTCATTCTACCTTCTGTGTTCACCTTTTACACCACAGTGTCTAGGACAGTAGTACTCAAAAGTACATATTAAAGCATATTTAACCTGTTTCCTTATCTTTCCCCCACTATGAGGCTCACTCCATCCTTATTCCACACCAACTCCCCTCACGCTATTTGGAACAGTGTCTGGCCTTGGCAAGCCTTTAAGGAAGAAGCCACACCATGTACGTCATATGCTTTGGGGTACTCTGTCATGGTCACATGCATGTCACAGCAACGTGTGATGTACCCATACTCCTGGTTGACTCTTTCCATGAGTTGCCCGGTTGATCCACTGAGAGATGCTTTTCAATGGGTCCCAACCTTGGCACATCAGAATCCTCTGTGGGCCTTTGTAAAAATCAAGACTTGACACTTGTTGGAGATTTAAAAATATCTCCCCGGCTGATTCCAATGAAACACCATTCTCAGACTTGGGTTGTGGTCCCATTGTGTCCAAATCAGTGATTTGAAATATGAGTATCCCTTTTGAATGTCAAACAATGGTTGAGGGCCGACACAGGATGGCAGGGGGCCTTTCAGTAACCACTGATTCTGAGAGGGAAAAGGAAACTGGAATGTGTGCTTTCACAGGGATCTGTAGCCCCAGGATGGGAGACTGTGCTCTAAACAAGAATGACAGTAGTCCCCCCTTATCCACAGTTTTGCTTTCCAGGGTTTCAGTTACCTGCGGTCAATCTTGGTCTAACACTATTAAATGGAAAATTCCAAAAATAAACAATTCAAAAATTTGAAATTGTGCACCATTCTGAGTAGCATGATGAAATTTCACGCTGTCTCACTCCGTCCTACCCAGGCCGTCAGTCATCCCTTTGTCCCGCAGATCCACACTGCAGACACACACACACACACACACACACACACACACACACACACACACACACACACACACTTACACACCCCACTCCTTAGTCAGTTAGTGGCCGTCTATGTTATCAGATCAACCGTGGAGGTATAGCAGTGTTTGTGTTCAAGTCACCCTGATTTTACTTAATAATGGCCCTACAACCATTCACATGACTTTTATTTCAATATATTGTTCCAATTATTTTATTATTAGTTATTGTTATTAATCTCTTACTATGCCTAATTTATAAATTAAATGTTACCATAGGTATGTACATATAGGAAAAAACAGTGTATATAGGATTCGGTACCACCCATGGTTTCAGGCATCCAGTGAGGGTCTTGGATTGTGTCTCCTGCAGATAAGCGGGTGAGGGGGCGGGGACTGTATCTGCATAGTCAGCAGGGCATTTGACAGGTTCTCTTGATGAGCCTGTGGACACATCAGAGGCTGGGTCAGAAGGCTCAGAAAGATCTCACTGCAGTGTGTGGTTAGTGCAATGACGGCTCAGGGAGACAGGTTTTTGAATCCTAGGTGCCTTCCGCTACGGAACACCATTTTGAGAAGCCCTGGCTCCGTAATAATCCTCCTTTCCAACCTGCCTCACCCCCACCCCCACCCCCCACCCTTAACCCCATACTTCCTGTAACCCCAGCAGCATCGCCTGGTGAGTGAAAGTGCGCCTCCACACAAGCCCAGGAGGCTGGCTTCAGGCTGGACCAGCCGCATGCCCAGCTGAGCTCTGCCCACCACGTGTGAGCCATGCCGAGCGGCAGTGAACCAGCAGGACCAGACTCCTGGCTTGGGGGAAAATGGACTACCACAGTAAGAAGGGGAGTTGTGGGGACAGGAAGGGCTGGTCCCAAACACCACCGCACTGCAGTGGGGGGTTCTCAGTCAAGAGCCTTGCAAACCCGGTCCAGGAGTGGGACATTCCATCCCAGACACAGAAAAGACGATTGCCCATGTCACCTCAACCTCCTCCCTGCCTCTTCCCACACAAAGAAAAATCTCTGAAGATACTCAGTGCACAAGTTGTTCTTTGGGGAATATTTTTAAAGCAGTCCAGATAACAGCTTGGGAAGAAGCTACTAGAAATAGGCTTTCCTTTAGCCCACAATTTTAATGGAGGACGGGAGGAGGGTCAGATTCCAAGGCTAGCAGGGTGGGACAGACAGAAACCATGAAGGGGAGAATAGGTGTGTCAAGTAGGGTTCCCCTTTTTATCGCAGCTCTGAACGAGGGGAGGGAGAACCCTTAAATCTAGGGGTTTTATATTATTCCAGGCCAGGCATTTAATCACTAAAATGAGAATTGTTTTAGACCAACAGTGATTAGGTAATATTTTTTGAGCTACGAGTAATGAGGAAACATTATGAAAATTATGAGACCTATTCAAAATCTCACTCAGGACTGGGAAGCAAGAAATAGCATTTGCGGGAACAGTCCTGACGAAAAATAAAGTTGCTTTATAGTCTCACTGTGTCCCATTGTCCTCTGTTAACATTAATGGTTACATTCCATAAGTTATATCAATTCCGATAATAGTTTCTAACTCAGGCCAAATGCTGTTTATTCCTTTCATACTTATGGACTCTCAGGCTCCTATCGTGCAATGAGAGAATACTGTAAAATACAACTGAAATGCTTTCTCCTCTGTTCTGTCTCACATACACCGCCCCCTCTGCTATCACTGGTCTTTTTATGGTTTATGCAGCTTGCCTGAATCTTTCTGGCAAACACGTCCTAAGGTTTCTTGCTTCAGCGGAACCACTGAAATCACTTCAAGAATCTGGTTTTTCTACTTGTCATGTGGTATGATGTCAAAGGAAAAATATGAGTTATTCCATTCCTCACCACACTCCCCATCAAAACTGTAATTTTAATCACCCTTTCATCTTTTCCAGCAGTATCAGCATACTGGGGTGGTGATTTCAGCACTCCAATCTTTTTACATGGTTTCAGTCTCATTGTGTATAAAATTTCCCATAGAAATCTTAAGATGTTTTACACACTACCTTGTTTTAAAAATCGTTTTTCTCTGATTATAGAAGGCATATGTGGGCATCATAAAGTGCTTGGAGAATACAGAAACATTTGAAGAAGAGCTCCCCTAATCTCACCACTCAGGGCTCCCTGACTCCTTAGAGACTTGAAACAAAACCTTTATTGAGTAAAGTCATTATTTTAAACATCCACTATTGAAAAGAGGAGGGGTTACAGGGATGCTCATGACACGTCATTTTGGGCCTCGATTGATCATGGCTGTCGCTATCACTTCTCATGATACCTTTGCCAGTCTCTTCCCTGACCCGTGTATTTAGCTTGTTCCTTCTACATAAAAAACATGTAAAGGAATGTTTCCTCTTCTCTGGGATGGCACCAGGAGGAAAAAGAATGGGTGACAGGACAGAGTTAAGAACAGATATGAGAGGCCATAGGAGAGGGGCGAGTATGACACCCTGTGTTCGAGTCGGGGGTGGGGGTGAGAGAAAGAGAGAGAGAGAGTTGGAGGAAATATAAAGAGTTATAATTGGTATCAGCTTATATGAAAAGGACTTCAGGTTTTAGTTGACTGCAAGCTCAGCTACGTCCACCAAGGTTGCCAGTAGGGCAGACACGTTTGCATGTTGCCAACCTACCACCTTACCACGGCTGTGTTAGACTCTCCAAAGCTTTTTCAACCAT